TACATATAAGAGTGGAGGTAGGAGTACACAGGTAGACTACATTCTATGTAGACGAGGCAATCTGAGAGAGATTAGTGACTGCAAAGTGGTGGTAGGAGAAAGTGTAGCCAGACAGCATCGGATGGTGGTGTGTAGGATGACTCTGGTGGTCAGGAAGAAGAGAGGTAAGGCAGAAAAAAAGACCAAGTGGTGGAGTTTGAAAAAGGAAGAATGTCATGAGGAATTCAGACAGAAGTTGAGACAGGCTTTGGGTGGTCAGGAAGAACTTCCAGATGACTGGGAAACTACAGCAGAAGTGATCAGGGAGACAGGTAGGAAGGTGCTAGGTGTGTCATCTGGAAGGAGGAAAGAAGATAAGGAAACATGGTGGTGGAACAAGGAAGTACAGGACAGCATTCAGAGGAAGAGGCTAGCTAAAAAGAAGTGGGACATAGAAAGGACTGAAGACAGTAGACAGGATTACAAGAAATTGCAGCGTAGAGTGAAGAGGGAGGTGGCAATGGCCAAACAGAAAGCATATGATGAGTTGTATGCCAGGTTAGACATGAGGGAAGGTGAGAAGGACTTGTACAGATTAGCGAGACAGAGAGATAGAGATGGGAAGGATGTGCAACAGATAAGGGCGATTAAAAACAGAGATAGATAGGTGCTAACAAGTGAGGGTGCAGAAAAGATGGAAGGACTATTTTGAGGAACTGATGAATGAGGAAAATGAGAGGGAAAGAAGGAAGAGGTGAATATTGTAGAGCAGGAAGTAGCAAAGATTAGAAAGGATGAGGTGAGGAAGGCTCTGAGGAGAATGAAGAGTGGAAAGGCTGTTGGTCCAGATGACATACCTGTAGAGGTGTGGAAGTGTCTAGGAGAGACAGCAGTGGAGTTTCTATCTAGTTTGTTCAACAGGATGTTAGAGAGTGAGAAGATGCCTGAGGAATGGAGGACAAGTGTACTAGTGCCGATCTTTAAGAACAAGGGTGATGTGCAGAGTTGTAGCAACTACAGAGGTATAAAGTTGATGAGCCACACAATGAAGCTATGGGAAA